AATAGAGGAGAGAAGTTTGTTTCCCTTCCCCTTCCTTAGCTAAACACTAAAACCAGTGGAGTGGCTGCTGCTGCCAGTTCGAACCAGGAAGCAACCATTGACAGTAAACGGAAAGGCAGCCAGTATATCCAGTTCAGAGCCGTTGCTGGTGGCAGTCAGCCAAAGGGAAAGGTTTTGCACAAGGAAGATCCCAATTTCACTCCTGGGCTCTTCCATCAAAAAAGACCTCGGCTTAGTAGGTCCTTAGAGAAACACTGCTGCCATTTCAAGGAAAGGAGATAGATAGAGAGCAGTGACAATCGCTGCTGCCACACTGCAGAATCAATGCAGTTTAACACCACTTTAACTGTTATGGTTCCATCCTGTGGAATCCTGGGATTTGTAGTTTGTTGTGGCAGCAAAGTGCTCTGACAGAGAAGGCTAAATATCTCGCACAACGCTACAAATTTCAGAATTCCATATCACCGAGCCACGACAATCAAAGCAGTGTCAAACTGCATTAATTCTGCAATGTGGATGCAGCCAATGTTGAGGAATGGGAGCAAGGCGGTTGTGCAAACCCTGTGCTGAGATTTATCATGAGATGACACTTTCCTCAGCAAGTCAGGGGACAGACTGGACCTCCCCAGCTTTTCTTCCATTTCATGGCTGTGCTCCTGTTCTTAAGTCTCTTCTTTACGCTTATATTTCATCCTCAAGTCTCCTCGGTCTCCTCCTTTGGTTCTCTTCTTTATGCCTTCTGCCAAAGTGGATTCCATGCTCTCTGTTGCTCTTGGGTCATTTGGGGAAACAAAGGTCTCCCAACTACATGTCCCCATGGGGAGAACATCATCAGATTAATTTTTCTTTGCAAGCAGTCAGCTTTATGGAAGAAGGGTCACCCATCACCACTTTCCAGAAGAAAGTCTTGGCCCCGACAGATTCTTAAAAACATGGCTTCTCCCGGTTTTTGTTTGTTGTTACTTGGCATCAACTTTGATGGTGCTATGAATGAGAGACCACCTGGCCATTAACTGCTTTGCTCAGGTCTTGCAAACACAAGGAATCAATCCAAGTATAGTGCAATCTCCATCCCAGGAGAAAGACAAGGTATACATTCAATGAATAAAGAACAATGAATTATCCTGAACAAGGTTATAAATAGTCAGGTACTTTTTCAAAAAGGAAAAAGATCATGCAGGGCGATTCTATTTCCCCAGTCATGAACTGGGGAATCACTTTGTTGTTGTGTGCCTTCAAGTTGTTTCTTACCCTAAGACATGGGTTTGGGTTTTGTTTTGTTTTTTGCAGGGCAAAGGTTTGCCTTTGCCTCCCTTTCAGGCTGAGAGAGTGTGACTTGTCCAAGGTCATCCAGTGGGTTTCCATGGCTGAGAAGGGATTCATACTCTGGAGAGCTGAGTCTTAGTTCAATGTTCAAACCACTACACCATGGTGGCTCAAGAGAACCACTTATTGGCAGTGAATGTGAATGTCTAGCCCTATGTTGGCATCCCTGGCTATCTCTGAAGGACTTTTTCAGAGGCATGCTGTTGTAATTTGCTGTCAATTCAGCTTCAGATTATGGTGATCCCATGAAAGAGAGACTTCCAAGGGCCCTGGTCATCCCTGCCCTGCTTAGACCTTGCAAACGCAGGACAGCCATGGCTTCCATGATTGAATCAATCCAACTCTCATGCGGTCTTTTTTCTTTTTCTTTTATTGCCATTCACTTTACCAAGCACCATTGTATTTTCTAATGAACCCTGCTTTCCTGTGGTATGTCCAAGGCCTGATTGCCTCCGTTTAGTCATTTTGGCTTCTAGTGAGCATATCAACTGGAGATACTGGAAACCTGGAACTTTCTGAGTGGTGACCTTGTTGCTTTTATTCTCCCTTTTCTCTGTTCTATTCCCTTTCAGACCATTTCTATACTAACAAGTCAATTACCAGGATTCAGTGTTTTGTTAGCATGCTAGCACAACATGATTTTCTCCTTTGCACCTCCCTTGTGTAACCCTCTTTTCACCCAAGCCTGTTGCAGAGTGTTTCCAAGACCTCTGTAGCAGTTTTGAGGATGCATAGGGTGGGGGTCATAGAATCATAGAGTTGGAAGAGACCCCAAGGGCCATCCAGTCCAACCCCATTCTGCCATGCAGGAACTCACAATCTAAGCACCCCCAACAGATAGCCATCCAGCCTCCGTTTAAAGACTTCCAAAGAAGGAGACTCTGCCACACTCCAAGGGAGTGTCTTCCACTGTTGAACAGCTCTTACTCTCAGGAGGGTCTTCCTAATGTTTGGGTGAAATCTCTTTTCCTGTAGCTTGCATCCATTTTCTCTGCCACATCCATTATCATGTCCTGTTATCTGGAGCAGCAGAAAACAAGCTTGCTCCCTCCTCAGTATGACACCCTTTCAAATACTTAAACAGGGCTATCATATCATCTCTTAAACTTCTCTTCCTCAGGCTAAACATACTCAGCTCCCTAAGTCCCTCCTCAAAGGGCTTTATGGTTTCCAGACCTTTCACCATTTTGGTTGTCTTCCTCTGGACATGCTCCAGCTGGTCAACATCGTTTTTGAATTGTGATGCCCAGCACCGGATGCAGAATTGGACACAGGATAGGGCCTAAATTGGTAGATCCCATTTCATTTTGGAAGCTAAGCAGGTCAGCCCTGGTTAGTACTTGAGTGGGAGACAGCCAACAAATACCAGGTGCTGTCTGCTCTATTGCAAAGAAAGGAACTGGCAGAACCACTTCTGAGGATTCCTTACCTAGGAAAAACCTAGGAAATTCATGGGATCGCCATAAATTAACAGGTGACTTGAAGACACATGCCTTGGATCCTGGCCAGTATTTACAGAAAGCCATTGCTCCAGTCATAGATGCAGACTTATTTCCATGTCACTTCATCTCCAACCTTTTTGTTGATCATCTTCTGGAACAAGTTTGAATTGTCTGGACGTATTGATAGCAAACTGTTTCTCAGTTCTTATCTGGCTTTGTAAAATCAGTAGAGTTTTGGTGTAGCTAGGCTGAGGGTAGGCTAATGAGATCCAGCATGGCTAGTGGTTTGAGTGTTGGACTATGACTCTGGAGACCAGGGTTCGATTCCCTACTTGGTCATGGAAACCCACTGGGTGACCTTGAGCATGTCATACACTCTCAGCCCCCCAAAAAACCAGAGGGTCACCATATGCTGGAAATAACTTGAAGGCTGAGGGTAAGAGGAATCTGTGCCACATTTCAGCACTATCTAGAAGAGGCTTGCATTTTGGATCTCCACTTCATTCCCATGGTCTTGAACCATTCTTGCCATGAAATTGTTCTTCCTCCCACCCACTTGAAATACATGCTGCCCTTAGCTCTCAAGACATTTATTCCTAGATTTTCCAAACCTCACCCCCCTCCCACTCTTGGGTAGTTATTGTAAAAAATAATTAATGGTTAAAAATAATAATTAGAAAGTAGATACAGGATAAAAATATATACGGTAAATATAAATATATAGGATAAATATACCGTACATATTTCCTCATATAGGATAAATGACTCTTGTTGGCACAAATGAATCTTTATCTTGATACCTCCCCCAAGGAAAAAAAGTAACTTATTTTTTTCACTTCCCTTTATATTGTGCCCTTCTTTATGGTTTTTCCCCCAAATCCAAGCCAGGTTTCAACACATAATCACATAGCATCAGGATGAAATCACGTCAATAAAGACAGCAAAATAATCAAGAAAAATCCATTTGCGCCACTTTCTTGTCCCAAAATGCATAAATTTGAACTTGCAATGAGCATTCCCTACCCTTCTGTTATCCATCTGGGAGAGAGACCAGTCATTGCTCTTCAGTTTTCTTAACATCTTACAACCTTGAATCATTTGTAGATGTTCATTCTTGCCTCCAGAAGCAAGAGGTGGGGCAGGATTAAAGTAATTTTCTTTTTGTGTTCTGCTATATATAGTATAAATATTTTAGATATATTTTAAAATCTGCAATCTGCTGGCTAACTTACTGTTGAAGAAAACAGACAGCTTTTCGAACTGTATTCTATTTGTGGAAGACATACGGACAGTGGAGATCACAAGGGACCACATTTGGGGAAGTCAAATATGGCAAAACTGAGGACGATATCTTTTGCTTAACTTTTTAAAAAAAAAATTATTTTTTTTAAAAAAAATTAATTGCATAAGTCTCAGCTTCAAAGTTCCACTGAACTTTTCCCCCTCTTTGCTGCTCTTTAGCAAGCTCTGGCTGGAGGATGGTGGTGGTGATGATGATGATGATGATGATGATGATGATAATAATAATATCTATTTCTTATCTGCCTCTCCCCATGAATCGAGGCAGGGGACAACAATTAACAAACAATAATTAACAAACAAACAAACATCCTGCTCAAACATCTCAGGGATGTTGATTAGTTTAACAATTAAAAACTTAAAGGAGGAACCTGCTCCAATTTCAAGGTTTTTTTTTTGCTTTTTCTTTTGGTAAAGCAGTGCTGCATTCTTCCTGAGATGAGTGGTTTATTATTTTAGTATATCAGAGTGTTTTATTGTTTTCTTTTTTATTGTATATGTCTGATGTCCCATCTTTTGGTGAAAAGGTTGTTGTTGTTGTTATTATTATTATTATCATTATTAATTCACTGTAACTGATAGAATTCAATGACTTAGCCATGTTAGTCTATAAAACCAGTGTGCAAAGGAGTCTTGTAGTACCTTTGAGCCTCACTGAAAGAAGGAAGTTTATTTTATTTTATTTATTTATTTCACTTCTATGCCGCCTTTCTCCCAAAAAAGGACCCAAGGCAGCTCACAAGCCTGAGTTCTTGTAGACTTGAGCCTGCTTCCTCAGATGCATGGAGCAGAGGATCCAAGGACAGACCCCTATAAGCAGGCTGTGTGTAAGAATGTCAATAGAAATTCAGTTTTAAGGATGGTCAGGTCAAGAGGAAGGATGTTGCCTAAAGCCAAGGTGAGTAAATCCCTATCCATCCAAACCTAGGGGCAGAAGTGAAGCCTCTGCTCCTCAGATTCCTGCCTGAGACCCAACTGCAACTGCACTCCCCCCCC